CTTCCCTGGCAAGCGTAAGAGCCTGAGTTCAATCCCCCGTTCCGCAAAAAAAAAAAAAAAAAGAAAGAAAAGAAATTACAGTCACTTTAAAATCATAGTAAAGAAGCCGGGGAGATGGCTCAGTGGAATAAGCGCTTCCCTGGCAAGCACAAGGGTCTGAGTTCAATCTCCGGTTCCGCCAAAAAAAATAAAATCAGAGTAAAGGCTACTTACAAAAGAGGGTCAATCTTTAGGGGGAGGATCTTGTTGGACTCATCTGTAGGTATGTCCATCTCTGGCCCCTTTTCCTCAATGCAGTTTGCAGAATTACTGTCAGGACTGCAGCGGACCCACTGGTACCTGGCTTTCCGCATAGGATAACCTGCCGGGACAAGAAAGGCACCCAGGCAGTGAGTGTCACCTACCAGGCTTCTAGTCCTCTGGTCCTTTGAAGTTCTCATATAAATAGATCCTAAATTTGCTAGCAGGTAAGATGCAGACAGGTTTTATGACATTAATACAGCAGCAGCACTGCTGCCCCAGGCTTTATTGTGCCTACACCTCTTGTCCATCTCATGGGACGCCTATGAAACAGCAGAAAGCCTAAGGGGTTAGAAGAGGCTTTGAGTTGGGCTGCTTGAGGCAGAGTCCTGGCTGGCTCTTCTCCTAGCGCTTAGGAAACCTTGACATCCCTGAGGCCCCGCTATAAACTGAAGGTCCAGGAGTATCACAAATGTGTCATAAAAATTAATGAGAAAATGCATGTGAAGCGTGTCTGACGCTGTGCCTAGTGCTCAAGCTCATGGTAAACACTTAATGATATTAACTGTTATTCTATTGAACTATCAGCTCCATTTTAAAGAAAACTGAGGTCACAAACATGCTAAGTGGAGGACCCAGGATCCCAGTCTGCCTCTTTTTGCAGAGATGAGGTGGGCATGGTGGTGCACACCTGTGATCCCAGCACTCAGGAGGATGAGGCAGGATTGCTGCAAGTTCAAGGCCAGCCTGAGCTACATAGTGAGACCTTGGCTAAAAAATAAGGATTTTTTCTTTTTTTTGCTCTGAATGCCTTCAGGGCAGGTTTGGCTGGCTTGAGTTGTGGGGATTGAACCACAGCAACCTGAGCCTGACTGCTTTGTTGAAGCAGCCACTTAAAGAACTGCAGGAAGGAAGGAAGAAAAGGCTCACGGATGCACTGAGAGGCACTCGAGGCATTGCCGAGGCCTCACTCTTGTACTTGGGGGCTACTTGGAGTTCATTGGGATACAAAGAAGAACAACACTCATTCTCAGGGCAGGGGAGATGGCTCAGTGGAATATGTGTTTCCCTGGCAAGTGTGAGGGCCTGAGTTCAATCCCTGGTTCAAGAGTCACATCTTTTGCCAGTTCTTTTCATTGCCACAGAAAGGCCCCCAAGTCTAGCATTCTGGGATTACACAGGCAAGTCTTTGTTATTTCACTAAATACATTCATGCAAAGCACCATGGTCAGAGTTCCTCATAGCCAGTGTCTCTGATGAGGTGGAGAAGGAAGAAGGTGACAGCCTACCTCTGATAGCAGACACTTTGTGGAGAGACCAGAATTTAAATTTAAATAAGTCAAGTTCCCATTGTACCACTTAGTATCTCTCTGATTCTTAATTTATTGTCTTTCAAATGTAAATAAGACTTTAGCAAAGACTACCGTTTAAATAAATATGTGTGAAGCAGCCAGCTCAAGCTTTGGCACAGAGAAAGTTTAATACATGTAAACTATTTCTTTCTTTTTTTTTTTTTTTTTCTCATTCTTTCCTGAAGCAGCATTTGTTCGGCATCTACTGCTTAGGAGGCTCTAGAAAATGGTATTAAAAAATTCAACCTATTTTTCCAGCAGAGGGCGATATCTTCACACCAGCCCTGTCCAATAGAACAAAGCCAACTAACTACACAAGACGTTTGAAATGTTTTAGCAGCTGAGTATTAAAAGGTAGAAATAAGCCCTCACTGATGGTTCTTATTTCTGTAGCCGCAGCACTCAGGAGGCTGAGACAGGAGAATCACTCACAGTTAGAGGCTAGCCACCGTGAGTTCAAGACCAACCTGAACTATATGCAGCCAGACCCTGTCTCAAAAAAATAAAAAAATAAAAAGGAAAAGCCAAACAGATAAAATTATTATTATTATTATTATTTTTTGTACCAGGACTTGAACTCAGGAGCTATATCCTAGGCCCAAAATTAATTCTAATATATTTCACTTAACTCAATCTACTAAAAATCTTGTCATTCAACTTTTGAGGATTTTTGCCTATTTGGGGGAGTGGGGTGGGGCTGGGAATTGAACCCAGGGCCTTGCATGTGCTAGGCAAGCATTCTACCCTTGAGCTCTAACCATAGCTCAATTGGTGGAAATTTTTATGCTTTTTTTCAAGCAAAGTCTCTTAAATAGTGTACACTTTGCTTTGTGAGCATGCGTCCCTTTGGACTCCCTGTAATTCAAGGCCTCTGCTACTCTGCAGGACAGAGCAGGCCTAGGGAGAGCAGAGCCTCTGAGTATCAGGGTGAGAAAATGTAGCCTTGGATAGGAAGTGAAGCAGCAAAATTAAACTAATGCCCTTGCTTGTTTGCTTTTCCGTAGTGCTAGGCCAGCACTCTACTGAGGAGCTATACCACCAGCCCAGAGGAATGCCTCCCAGGGAGCATCCCAGTGAAAGAGCATGTCTTTCCACCTGCACAACAGCTATAACTTTGGCAGATTAAAAAAAAAGTCTGAAATTCAAAATAAACTCAAGAGTTCAGGACCTCAGCTTTTAAAATTTATTGAGGCATTTCTTTTTGAGGAACAATGAAAATATTCTAAATGCTGCCATGGTGATGGCCACAAAGCTCTGTGAATATACTAAAAGCTAATTCATTGTTTACTTTAGAGGGCAAATTAACGCTTTGTGAACTGTACTATAACTAGGACGTTCTAAAAATTTATATAGAAGTCAAAGGTAGAAATCCTTCCCTTCCAAAAGCTTGTTGGATTTAGGGCCAATGATGTTAAAGATACTTTAAAATAAACAAGATAGTTACACAAACAAAATTCCAGGCATAGTTATTCATGGTGTTGGCAGGATGTGAAAATTCAAGGTTCTGTCCCCCTGAAGTTGCAAGAGTTCTTGACTTTATCTTGCTTGCGGTGTCTTACGATTACCATAGTTTTAAACATGAAAGTGAGACAGACCATAATCTTCCCACAAGGGCCCGCTTGCAGAGAGCCTGCGGGCTCATTACGTGGTAGTCTCTGAGACTGAGGGTTACTCAGAACCCCTTTCCTTACCACCTCTGCTCGCCCAGCCACGGCCCTCGCTAGCTGTGCTTTAGCAACACCCTTTCTCTGAGGAACTCTTACCGAGCAAACGACTTTACTCAAAGTCCCTCTGTATCTTTTCTTTCCTCTCTCTTTTTTTTAAATGTATTTGGTACAAGGTCTCACTACGCAGCTTGGGCTCATAGTGACTCTCCTGTTTTCAGCCCCCCCAGTGCTGGAATTACAGGCTTGCGCCACCACGCCCAGTCTCACTGGCCACCCAGCATGTGGTGCTGGGAATCAAACCCAGTCCCTGCGCTTGCCAAGCAGGTGCCTAGTCCCCTGAGCTGTCTCACCAGCCCACCCTCCGTATCTTTTCATATTTTCCCTAGCAAAGTTGCTATTTTCCCCCAATCATAATCACAATGTAGCAAATTGCTATTCTTTGTGGAAACTTACTACAGAAGTGCTAGGGAAACTGAAGCAGAAATTGCCATGAGGGAAAATTTTTTTGATTTATTCAAAATGGTAGAAGTTAAGCAGTTGTTATCTGAGTTGGAGTTACTTCCCACTGGGCCTATCCAGTCACAAAATGCATCCGCTTCCCTGCACTCTGGTGTGGTGTGGCAAGCTATAAAAAGCTCCACATTTGCTTTCAATTTCTCCCTAAACTCTGTACTGAGTAGTAAACACAATAGGGTTGTAGTCAAAGGAAGTTTTTTTTGTTTGTTTTAGTGAAAATAACAAATACAGGCCAGGTGTTGTGGCATACATCTCACTATGCAACTGAGGCAGGAGGATCGCTGGATGTTTGAGCCACTCTGGGCTACAAAGTGAACTGAAGGACCTCCTCGACTACATAGGGAGACACTGTCCCAAAAAGACAAAAAAACAAAAACAAAAACAAAAAATCATGCTTGCTTCGGCAGCTCATATACCAAAATTGGAACGATATAAACAAAATTAGCATGCCCCCTGCGCAAAAAACCAAGAAAACGAGCCACCAAAAGTGTTAGACTACATGTTGCTGTACAAATCTAATTCTGACCTTACAAAAAGATGACTACTTCTTCCATTTGTTAGTTATAATGGGCCTTGGACAAAACACATATTTGCAAGAAACTGACAGAAGGAACAAATGAGATAGCCAGCGTGGTGGCTGAGGCAGGAAGATCACTCAGGGAAGTTGAGGCTCTCGTGGCTACGAGTGAGTTCAAGGCCAACTTGAAGTAGAGTGAGACCCTGTCTCAAGAAACAGAAAGAAAAACAGGATAGCACAAGTTGAGATGATCCGGTTTTCTCTGTCAGTTGGTACTAATCCTCCCTCATAGGGAATGGGACAATCATTACCACAGCAAGTGGATGTGAAGTCACTTTACAAACAACCACACACATGAGTGGAAGCAATTCCATTACTGTGGTCTAGGAAATAGTGGTACAGCCCCCGGGCCATGCCTGCTCGTGGATTTTCTGCTTTATCTCTTTCCAGGCATCTTTGGGAATGAAAGGCAATGCGGTGTAGGAATGGCGGGCCTCATCTGTAATCTCCTGAAGCCCACATTAGGGTGTTCAGCCCTCTGTGTCCCTCATCATCTGCCACACATCCCCAGACTCCCATTTCTTGGGTCTCTGTAGACACAACTTTACATTACGTCTTTACTTGGGCTTATAAAACCAAGTACGTTATAGGCTGAATTATGTCCACTGCAAAATTCAAACACTGAAGTCCTAACCCACAGGACCTCTTCATGGGGTATTTGGAGGGAGTCACTGAAGACGGAGATGAGGGTAGAAGACATCAGGTACAAGTGAAGGAGAAAGCCCTCAGCTAAAGCCAACCTTCCAGCCCTTCATTTGTGATGCGGCCTCCAGAGAAAATAATTATTTAAGCCACCCAGTGGGCGGCACTTTGTTTTCGCTGCCCAAGGAAACTAGCGCACAACCTAGGACAGTTTGCGTAGCCCAGTAAAGGCAGGCCTAGCTAACACGATCAGTCAAACCAGTGAGGGAAGCCAACATTTTCTCTCCTTAAAAATATTTTTTTAAAGGTAAGGGAAGAATAGCACAGCATCACGGGGGAGGAAGCAATGGTGTTGCCACACTGCCTCAGCTCCTCTTGCCACTGTCGCTGATGTGTGGCCGCTGTCTCTTTCCCTTCATATTCAAAGGGAGCACAGGAGTAGGAACCCAGTGGGGACCGTTGGGGCTGCCTGAGTTTGCCGCTTAGCTGCTGTCTACCTTCCGGTTCCCTTTTCCGACAAAGAGCTCAGCCTCCCAGGTGATGACATAAATGCCAGGATTTTTTACAGTTTCGTGATGGTTTCTCACTTCCTTTATTTTCATTCTAGTCATAAGTATTGAGTCAGTGCAAAAGAGAAGGTTTCGGGGAAATGTTGAAACCCTAAGGGCCAGCACCAACTTGTCACTCCGTGACCCTCCCTGCCACGAACACGGAGCTGGCTGCCCTCAACGCTGTCAGAGCACATGATTGTTGGGGAGCCCTTGCAGCCAGCTGGAGACTGTCTCCCAGAGGCCCAGGAGAAGCCTGCTCTCTCCGTGTGGTCTTTCCTCGTACTCAGCTCATAAACAGGTGAACGGAAATGCTTCAGCAACCTGCTGGGGTTTTCTGCAGTGTCAGCACAACTGAAAGAAAATGATTTTTTTCCATTTTCAATAATGTAAAGAATTTCTCTGAGCTTGTCTGTGAGATTTCATTGCCACCGGAAGTAAGAATGTGACGGCAAGATGTCACTTCAAAGAAACAAATCCAGGGCATGTGTGTCATGGTGACTCAACATTTCCTTCACCATTTGTGGAAACTGAATGTTTTTCTCCTGTAACTTCCACCATCTATTTATCAGGCTAAGGTCTTCTGTCTGATTAAGACAGGATTCCTTATTTACCAAAGGAGAAAAAAATACTTTTCTTACAAAACGATATTTTCTTTTGCTGGTGAATAAAAGTTTTAAAATTGTTGCAGTGTGACTAAACAGTCATGAATGATAGAGAAACTTAAAGACACTTCCAGGCCAGGCATGGTGGCACATGCCTGGAATCCCAGCACTTAGGAGGCTGAAGCAGGAGGGCCTCCATGAGTTCAAGCCCAGTCTGAACTAGATAGAAAAACCTTGAAGCCAAAACTAACCGAACAAAAAAAAAACAACATTGACAACTGTGTTGCTATGGGCGATAGCACAAATAATAATATTCTTCGAGCTTTCTTTGAAATCTGAGAAGGTCTGTATTAACCATGGGTAACCGTAATTGAATCTTCAGTAGGATCCAATTTTTAAAAAGAAAATACACTCGGTCAAATTTTTAAAAACTTAAAAAATAGCATCTCCCAGTGTTACGGTTACAGCACTCTCATAACACAAACTTGGGATTTATGAGTGCGGATGTGTTACGCACAGGTAATGCCATCATTATGTACTGCGAACTTGGAGTAGTAAAAAATAAAAGCTGGAAAACATAAAAAAATTAAAAAAAATTGGGAATTGATGTAGATGCTCAGAAGTAGGACAATTCCCCAAAGTACTCTAAGGTGCCGCGGTCTTCATGCAATGACACGTGAATCATTTCCTCACTCCTCTCTTGCGCATTGAGAATTTATAAACCACATATTTTTGTCCAAAAATAAAGCAGCACTTCTCAATCACTGTAAAAGTTTATAAGGCGACACCTGCTTCAGAATCTAATTTTTCTTGGCACCAAAATGAGTTGCACTCACTAGGGAATCCAACCACCCCACTCCTCCTTCCTCACCTCCTTTCCTATATTCTTGCTTTAAAATGAAGACAGTTATCTCTGTGGATTCTGGACTCACAAGGGGAATGAGAGTCCTGGGTCTTACCTTGCACTGAAGATCCCAAAACCAGGACAAGGGTGAGGGCCAGGACCAGCCTGCCACATTCGGACACCGCCTGCATGGTGGCCAGCTCTCTCCAGCACGCCAGCCTCACGATTAGGAAATGCTGCAGGGTGCTTTCTGTCCCTTTTAGAAAGAGTTCCAAAACCTCAGCCCTGCCCAGAACACACGTCACAATTTCCTGAACAAATAGAAAGAGATCCACATCAAAACCCAGAGAATAAGAAAAGGAAAGCAGCAAAAATAACTATTCGTACCCATTACGAAACTGTACTGGACTCTCCCCAGACTGTTTTCTTAAAAATGTTGTTTGCCATTTATCTGTTAGAATTTCCCTTCCCCCAGCGAAACAGTAGAATCACCATTCGGGACAGTGTGTTTCTCCTTTCTTCAGGTAGCAATCCAGACCCGGGACCACTAACCGGAAGGGTCCACTGCACTACTGATGAGATAAAGGGGCTCATTTCTCACGGAGCCAAGCTAGAGAAGTGCAACTTGATGCCCGAGCTCCCATCTAGCAGAATGAATTGTCATATCTGGTTCTTCTTAGATCCAATTTTTTCATTGGATTGCTGGCTCTCCCTCTACCTCAAAAATAGGGTGAACATGTGTTGGTTACCAAAAACAAAACAAAACAAAACCTGATAAAACTGAAAAATTATTTACATTCCTGTGCTCCTTCATAGGGGCTCTATCTTATGATGTGATGCCAGGCATACTTTTTTTATCTTTTTTCTTCTGGTAAATTTTTAGTTTATTTTGGGTCTTTCAGCCTTGAACAAGCCAGCAATCAGGAACAAGGAGAGGTTTTCCTCTCAGAGAGCTACTGGATATGAAACACACACAAATCCCCCCACCCCAGCCCTGTGCATAGTAGGGCAGTGTTTCTACCCCCTCTGGTGTTTGGACTTTTGGAGGATCAGGAGCCACATTACAGTCACTCGCTGTCGCCTTGGGGATGTAACATTTCCTTCCCCCATTTGAAGAGGCATCCAGGCTCCATTCCAGTGCTCACTCGGGCAGCCCCAGACACCGGCAGCCCCAGACACGTTAGAGTGCACATTCCACTTTCCATTTTCTGCTCCCTCGCGCAGCCTCACACACCAGGGAGGGGTTTCCCTTCCTTGTTGTGGACTTCCTGCTGACTCCTTGGCGTTTCCTGCTAAGGGTGGCCTCAGAATCTCACCCTGAGAAGCTCTGCTACAAGAATGAAAAGGGTGCACATGTGGCTCTCGTCAGAGCCAGCCAGACAGGGTCCCGCACCCCAGGGCCTCCTGAGAGCACAGCGCCAACTTCAGACACGAACCCTGCGAGCTTCCCACCGTGGAGTACGCTACTGGCTCCACCTTGAAATGTCAGAGCTTGTCGCTGGTCTCTTCACATCCTAACCATCAATTTAAAAGCCTGGCAACAAAGCGATAGCTTCAATAGGCTTCCTACAAAGCCTGACAGCTGATTAGAACTTGTGCTTGCAAATGATCATTTGAGGGACTTTTTTCATCTGGACTCTTCATTTTTTCTTTTCCTAGGTCATAATAATTTTTTGTCTTTTAAGTCCTGGAGACTGAATACAGGGCCCTTGCACTGAGCTACATCTCCAGCCCATGTTTTATAAAGAGACTGGTTCTTGCCAGTTGTCCAGGTTGAGCTTGAACTTTTAAAAAAAATGTATTTGGTACGATGTCTACTACACAGCTCAGACTTATAGTGATCCTCCCATTTTCAGCCTTCCCAACACTGGGATTACAGGCCTGTGCCACCACACCCGGACTCGGTGGTAGGCTCAGCATGCCTGGGGGCACAGCTGGCATAGCCTGCGGTGCCTGGGATGGAACCCCTGTCCCTGCACTTGCCTAAGCAGGCACTTAGTCTGCTGGGCTATCTCACCAGCCCTGAGCCTGAACTTTAGATCCTCCTGCCTCAGCCTCTCAGGTTGCAGATCAAAGTGATTTTAAAAAGCATTTTCAGGGGGCCGGGGAGATGGCTCAGTGGAATAAGCACTTCCCTGGCAAGTGCAAGGGTCTGAGTTCAATCCCCGGTTCTGCAAAAAAAAAAAAAAAAAAAAAAGCATTTTCAGGAGCATCATGATGTTGTGGGGTTGGGAGTACAACAGGTGAAAGAAGGCTCCTATCTCATTCTGTGGGTGCTCCAGGCATTTCTAGAAGCAGAGGCAGCAGTGATTGTCCAGCAGGATGTAGGACAATGCCTTGCCATGCCTGGTAGCTGCGGCGGGCACCCGCACCAGGACGTCAGTCTCCAAGGAGTGACCTTTCCACCAGTGCAGCGCATCCACTTTGAGGCCATTTTTGAACTCAAATTTTTCTTTCCCAATTCCAGGCACCTTTTCACTTTGGCCAGTGAGCTGCAGCCTGGGAAGTATTGGCCCAGTGTTGTGCATTCCCCCTTCTGGCTGCTCCTGGACAAGGGCCTGCTTTTTGGGCTCTATAACCAGAAAATCCATGGGCTTCAGCGGGGCCCTGAGGTCCCCATTTCTAAACCAGTTGGAACCTTTGCCTCAGCCACCTGTACTATCTGTTGAAAACCCTTCTCAGGGGAGGACTTAGGGCTGATGTGGCATCTCTATTTCTCAACAAGCGCCCCGTGCCCTGATTGAATGTGTCCCTCGAAGTCCACATGTTGGAACCTTAAATCTCCAAAGTCACCCATGGATGGAGTTTGGAGGTGGGGTCTTGAGAGGTGACCGGGGATAGATGAGGTCACCAAGAAATTACATCCACAGTGGCACTGGAGAAGGAGGGAGAGAGAACAAGTGGGCGGCTTTGTGTCTGGCCATGCAACGCCTTTTACTGTATTCTGGTATGGCGAGAGGCTCTCCTAGGTACAGAGCAGGTGCCAGGGCCTAGCTCCTGGCTCCCCAGTCTCTAGAACGGCAAGAAATGCATTTCTTTTCCTTATAAATTACCTGGTGTCAGGTATACAGTGATAGCAACAGAAAACAGTCTAAGACCCTGGAACGAGGCAGATCAATTCTTTGTTGTCTTAACAAAGTAACCCCACAAAGCAAACCTCATTTTTCACTAATGACTGCTTTCGGGGTAGTCTTAGGAGGGGAATCTGTTCTGAGCACTTGAATCTTCCTAGGATTACAATTTGCTCAGATGCCCTGAGGTTTTCAGAAGGAATGCCTACGGAGGTATGACAACACAGCTCAGGGATGGCTCCAGGGCTCATTTCTTTTTTGGGGGGGGCTCATTTCTTTTTATCTGTTTGTTTTAGTTTTTTGAGAGTCTTGCTCTGTAGCCCAGGCTGGCCTCAGGCTAGCAGAGGTCTTCCTGCTTGAGTCTCCCAAGCAGTGGGATCATAGGTGGACACCACCACCAAAGGCAACTCATTCTTTTTTAAATCCCCAACTTAAATATTCCACTACTAGGCAGCCTCTGCGACTAAAATTTTCTTAGCTCTTTCTAGAGAGGTTCTTGGCTCTGAACTAACTACTGCAGCAAAAAACTCAGCAGCAAATAGATCCTGTACCAAATATGTTTCAGGTGCCTTAAAAGAATGATGACTGTGAGTTTTATTTTTGTTTGTTTTTTTCTAGAATGGAAGTGGTGGCATTTGCCTATAATCCCACCACTTAGGAGGCAGGAGGATATTGCCATGAGTTCAAGGCCAGCCCAAACTACATGGTGAGATTCTGTATCAAAAAAGAAAGAGAGAAGAAAGAAAGAAAGAAAAGAAAGAAAGTAAGAAAGAAAGAATAAAGAAAAGAAAAGAAACCATTTAGGTCATATACTCTTGCGGGAAATAGGCAAGTCCAGAAGGCTTCTAACGCTGGCTCTGGTCCCATAGCTGGGGAGTGTCCAGGACAGGAAACTTGCAGTTTTCTACTCCCCTGTAGTGGGTGAGGAGACTGTGGCCCAGACAGAAAAATATCTCAACGCCACTGGTCCACAGGGAGCAGTGCCGTTGTGCCCATGGACAGGATCCACAGAACAGAGGCCCCAGCCAGCCCACCAGCCGCATTCCCACCGACTCTGCTGTGGTCACTGAAACCATACATCCAATTTTCTAGAAGCAGGATTCTTTCCCTAAAACCCCTGAAGATTCTGTTCCAGACACCTCCCCAGGTATCCAAAAGTTGGGCAAGTTGACGCTTTAATCTTAGGTTGCACAAGGAGAGGAACAGCCCCCTTACCAAAGTGCTCTAATTTGAGAATATAAACAAGGGCAAAGATTATATGTGAATTTTCTGTATTTTCCACTCAATTTTGCTGCTAAAAGTGCCCTAGAAACATTAAATCCAAGATGAGTGTGGGGTGTACACCTCTCATTCTGACTACTTAGGAGGCTGAGGCAGGAGGATCACAAGTTCAAATCCAGCTTGAGAGACACTTGTCTCTCAAAAACTAAATAAATAAAAGAGATAAGGCTTTGGCTCAGTGCAAAGGCCCTAGGTTCAGTCCCCGGTACCACCACAGCTGTTAAGCTACCATCTTGATTCTAGGAGATGAAGTCCCAATTGCAAACTTTGTAGGCCTTGAAGAGCCCATGATAGCACCACCCACTGGGTGTCTTGGGTTGGCGAGGGAACGTGCTGCTTCTCTCTTAGAAGATTCTCACAGGGGTCAGCTGTGTGGGGAGTGAACTGTGCAGGGAAAAGTTCAGACCTAAAGGAACAGGAATGACAAAGGGGTTGGGTGGAATGAGGCCTCTGGAAAGAAATCAAGGAACGATGTCTTTACTTGGCTACTTCAACCTCACCTCTTCTTCTAGGACTCACTGTCCATGCTACTCCACAATTAATTTTTGCATCTTTAGTTTAACTATCTTTTTAAATTAAAAATTAGTAAATGATTGCTATGGACAGGTTGGCAGTTGGGGAGTTCCAAGGAGGAACGTAGGAGATCAGTTCCTTGTCCCCTCCCATCCAGCACTGAGTGACCTCCAATTCCGCCTTTGGTGCTTCAGACCCTGTCCCACCACTGCCGCCCCCAGACGTGCTGTGGAATCCAGTCAGCAGTCCCACCACCTCAGGTCCCTGTGGAGTGAGCTGTCCTCCATGTCCCCAAAGTCAGCTCCAATATTTCCTGGGCTCTGCAGCTCAATTGCAGTCCCAGTTCCTTCTCCCCAAAACACACATCCCCAAATTACACTCTCGTACCTGCCATTTATTTAAGGCTATCAGTCACAAAGGAAGTGGAAAGCCCTTGCCGCTGGATTTGTAACCGCAGGGCCTCAACCAGATCTTCAACGGTCTTCTCCTGTTGCGCTCCAGAGGCTAACCACAGTGACCAATTACATTACTACATTTGCGTTACTGCTTGTTTTTTAGGCTGTCTTTTGGTCATGGCCAGAAATATGAACTTTAAAAAATGCTGTTTGTTTGGTTGTTTGTTGAGAAAGGATCTCCCTACATAGTTCAGGCTGTCCTTGAGCTCACTATGTCACTATGTAGCTCAGGCTGGCCTCTAACTCATAGTGATCCTCTTGCCTCAGCCTCCCAACTCCTGAGATTACAGGTGTTCACCACCACACCTGCCTGGTTTTTGCTGAAATACTATTTAGAAACTTGGTATGGAGATGGTAAAATGTCTTTTTGTGGTGAATTTTAACTTCTAATCTCAAGAATGCAAAGATAAACTGGGCCTGGTGGCACATGCCCAGAGTGATTCCAGCACTCTGGAGGGAAGTCAGTTCAAGGTCAGCCTGAGACTGTCTCAAAAACAAAACAAAACAAAGCTATAACCATACTCTACCCCCAAACCTGACACCGATACTCATATCAGTTGCCTTTTTCACTCTAATGAAATGCTATGTATTTTATGATTTTTATGTGATGATATCATATCCTAAAGCAGATTAAGCTTCCAGATTATTTTAGCATGATTCAGGATATCCCCCAAGGCACTGAATGAATGGACAATTGAATGGACTCGATAATGAATTTTGTTCACGTGACAGTCTTGGTTTGACACTAAGATTATATCAAAGATGTATCTTTGATTGTAATAGAATAAAACATGCTGCTGATTACCATCAAGTTAGCAGTGATGTTCTTTAGATGGGTGGGTGATAGATGTTTCTTCTTTTATTGACTATTCCAAATTTTGTAGAACAATAGCCCAGTCCAGTGGCACAAACCTATAATGCCAGCATTTTGAGCGGCTGAGGAAATCAAAAGTTCAAGTTCTGCCTGGGCAAGTTAGTGAGACCCTGATAAATTATAT